GCTTTTTTTTGCTGCTTGGGGCAGCAAAAAAGTTAGAGCCGGCCCTGCTCATGAGAGAAACTCCTCATCCATTCTTGTGACCTTGGCACTGATGTATTGTTGGACTTCATGGTTTTTCTCTTCCCACCCTAAGGACAGAGCCTTTCCAAGACATTTTTGCACAAGGTGTAGCTTCCCCCTCCCCCCCCAACACAATTCAAAAGACAAACCCTAATTACATCTGCTTGTTAAACAATGCACTGCTTATTTAAGAAAAATAGGTAAAATAAAGTAAAGCATTTACTCTTCATCACACATAGATTCCTATAGGGGCATGCATTTCCACCAATATGTCAAGTCACTACTATTTTCAGAAAATTCTCTTATTCCGTGATACCCACAATAAGTGAGTAAAATCTGTTGAGTGGACCAGATCCTCAGCTGTGGCTGAGCAGTACTTGAAGGAGTGGGACGGATGGAAGTGCAAGTGCAAAGTGCCTTTTATGACCAACTATTCCTGAATTGTCCATCCACCAGGCTGCAGCCTGGTAAACAGTGGCTGTGGCCTTCTGCAGATGGGGGTCTGTGATGGGTTGGACCCCCCCATCCAGGGTGCCACCTGATGTTCTGGGGTCTCACTGAGCCTGCCCTTTCCACCAGCCTGGGTTTCCTCACCCTATTCTTGGTGTGCTAGGCTCTCAAGCCTTCTCCAGCACACACACAGGTAAGGCCACACCCAGATGCAGACACAGACTGAAATCAACTCTGTGTGGGAGGACGTAGCTAGGAGAATGGCCAGCACTCATGTGCACACATCCCTTGGGGTATAAACCAAAAATAATATTGTCTTGTGCTGTATAGAAAGATCTGCACAGCGCAAGCTCATAAAAATTCACCCTCTCCCTCAATGTGGAGAGAGATATGCACAGCTTTTTGCTCCCCCCAGATATGAATTGCAAAACCTGGGTTTTGAAATAAACAAGAAATAAGTTTATTAACTACAAAAGGTAAATTTTAAGTGATTATAAGGAATCGCAAACAGAACAAAGCAGATTACTGAGAAAATAAAATAAAACACACAAACTAAGCTTAATACACTCAGGAAACAGGTTACAAAGTGTAATTTCTCACCCTAAATGTTGTTTTAGGCAGGTTGCAGAGCTTCTGTAGCTTAGAGTTCCAGTTATTTCTCTTTACAAACTGGACCCGTCTCATCCTGGACTCAGCCCTTGCCTTTCCCTTTCCCTTCAGTTGTTTTTAGCAATCTTCCTTTTTGGACTGGGAGGCAATGGAGAAGAGTCCTGATTGCCTTACTTCCCAGCCTTAATTAGAATTTACATAAGGCGGGAATCTTTTGTTTCCCAATGTGACCTCTCACCCCCTCTTAATGGAAAAACACTGAAAGCCTCAGATGGACGTCTAATACCAGGTGACCCGATCACCTGACCCTGTAGTGTCAAAGCAGAAATCCAGCGAGCTTCTCAGGAAGGTGGGAGATTAGTATCTTCCAAGTCTTATTGTTCTTCTTAATGGCCCACTGAGGATGATTGCCTACTGTCTGGTAGGCGTTCCTCCAAATACACACACACAGTTGTAATTGTTACATAGTCAATATTCCTAACCTCAGATACAGAAATGATACATGCATACAAATTGGATAATCACATTCAGTAGATCATATCCTTTCCAATGATACCTCACATGACCGATCTTGCATGAAACATGTCTTAGTTATGCCATATTCACATCATAACAATATTTCTATGAATAATATGGGGTGCAGTGCCACAGCGTCACTGGGGCATAAGGGACTTCCAGCCACATCCCTTCCTCAGGCCCCCATCTTTCATGCCATGCCAGACAGTAGTACTCACTACAACAACTCTATGCCACGCCACCTGAGGATTGTAATAGGCAGGGAGGATTCTCCAATGGCCAGTTAGGTAATCTTAATGTTGGACAGGATCTGGCCTGTTATATAAAAATTAAAAAAATAAATAAGATACTAAAAAAATGCTTAACAGAGCCACCAATAAGGACATATGCCTAAAATGAGTAGCTGTACTACTGTATTGCTGCAACTCTCATCTTACTCCCCATCCCCTACCCTACTGTGTGTCACCTTCATTCTCCTTCACCTCTCATGTCATGTTTAAAGATTGTAAGGTCTTCCAAGTAGGGATCATGTCCTTTCATATTATCTGGGAAGCACCTGTGTTTGCTATAGAATAATAATAATAATAATATTTTTGGACATATCTGGACTTGTCCTTTCTAGCACCCTCTACTAGAGGAGTTTTGCTGTTTAGTGAGAACCTAGAATGCTATCATAGGGAGACACTACAGCAAATTTCATGATGATGAGAATATTACAAAAATAATTGACCACCACATTCCCTCTCTCTATCTAGGTACTTATATAGCCCTCATCACCATAGCTCCTAATGGATTTTTGTCCTCACTACTCCTGTGAAGTAGGGAAACCTTATCCCCATTTCACTAAAGGGGAACTGAGGTGCAGAGTAGGTTAAGCAAGGTCACACAGAAAGTATGTGGCTGAGTCCAGAATTGAACCCTGCTCTCGAGTCCAGTGCCCTATCCACTACGTCACCCTTCCACCATGCTGCATGTGGTAGGACGACATGAATTATTAACTGCACCCAGAGCTTAATTTGTGTCAGGGCTTTCCAGGGCTGAGCACTGTCACTGTAAGGTTTGGCAGTTCATAGCCCCAGCACCTCTGCATTGTTGCATCACTGATGAATGTAAAAAAATTGCTTGAGCCCTAGCATTTAATTGCTTGAGCTCCAGTACCTCTTTCATTAC